TTCTCGATAGATCAGCGTAGGATCAATGGCTTGCGGAAACGTCTGTTGATGTACATTCTCGGAACCACGTTACAAGGTGCATGCTCTCTCTGGCTGGCTTTCATCAAGTGCTTTTCTGCCCGATATCAGTTCCATCAATATCACCCCAAAGCTAAATACATCGACTTTAGTTGTTACTCGACCAGTAACTGTCATCATGTGATTAATAGTAAGCATTTGAGAGAAGATATGTGATTGTATGGACTCTATATGTATTCAAGAAATAATGTTCACTTTCTTGAATACAAATCCAGTCATGGGTTGATCCTAGAAAGGCTTTGAACCCAAGCTTAATCAAATGCAAGATAAAGCAACACATAATTATAATAGATCAGGAAAAATTATGCTGATGAATGTAGTTAATAATAATGTCAGATCAGGTAAATGGGTCTCCCAATGTCTGTCCGGGTTCAGCTATTTTCTGGAAACTACCAAATGCTGATTACCTCATGAGAAAGTTTCTCAATATTGCATTTTAAACTTTAACTAAAAGCAACAAAAGAAGGAAAATGAAAGGCTACCTGCATATTCGGGTGCCAAGTATCCAAATGTTCCAGCAATTCTTGTTTCAATTGACCCTTTACCCTCTGGAGCAAGACGAACAAGACCAAAATCTGATACCTTAGCCCTCATATCATCCCCAAGAAGAATGTTTGAAGGTTTCAAGTCCCGATGTATGAAGCTCTGGTGTGCCAAGCTATGAAGATATTCAACGCCTCTCGCCACATCCAAGGCTATAATCAGCCTCTGTCTCCATTCAAGAGGCTTCAATTCTTCTTCTGGCCAATTGAAGAGATGCCTACTGAGAGTACCTTGTGGCATATACTCATAGACAAGAAGCTTCTCATTCCCATCCAAGCAATACCCTAGAAGTGAAACAAGATTCCGATGCCTAACTTTGGTCAGAACAGCAATTTCAGATTTGAATTCTGCTAATCCTTTCCCACTTATTACCCCGGATTCCATTCTTTTCACTGCAATCTTCGTACCATCGTGTAACTCCCCTCTGTAAACCACCCCAAAACCTCCTTGTCCCAATATATTCTCTCGGCTGAAATTGTTCGTTACGTTCCTCAAGACCTGGATTGAGATCACCATGTTCCCTGCTTCAACCATTTGGAAATCACCAGGCTCACTACTAGGAAGAGTATGCGTTTCACTGACTGGACCAACAGTAACACTTGAGCTAGCAACTGTGATCTTCATGCTTTCATTATCGGAGCCAGAGTGACGAGGATGAATCACCATTGCACTCGGGCTTTGCACTCTACTAAACCGCTTTTGCCTCTTTTTGTACAGACAAAAAGCCAAGAAACCAATCAAGACAATCACCAATACACACCCAGTGACAGAAATCACGATTATTCCAACCAAAGCAGAAGATTTCTTACCAGCATTTCCTGAACTATCTTTGTTCCCGGAACCTGGAGTGGTTGAAGGACTTCCTGATGGTGATGAAGAACTTCTATCCTTCCCTATATCCGGATTACCATTAGTATTTAATATCACATTACTCTTGAAAACAGGGATTTTCCCATAAATCTGATTGTTTGACACATCAAGTTCTTTAAGTGCAGGAAGAGTAGTCAGCTCATTCGGAATTGACCCGGTAAGATTGTTATCAGCAAGA